ATGATTTTCAATTTTTTAGATAGACATGCTATTTTCTAGACGAATGATATTTTACTTGGACTATTTCAATCCCAATTCTTTTTGAATACATTGATTCCAATAAAACAACAGTACCAAGATTGGTAATCGACTGGCTTGGGTCAAACAATGGACTGCAACAGATATGGATTATCTAGAAAACTGCGTTTTTATAGATGAATCTGCTTTCAATATCAACATGCGACCTTCAGGTGGTTGAGCTGAAAAAGGAAGACCAGCTATTGTAAACGCTCCCTCTACAAGAGCAGTATCTCATATTATTTTGGGCGCCATTTCTTCTAAATTTGCTGTATCCATCACGGAGCTTCGAAACCCTCAAGAGGAATGGTCCGAACGCGTCAAGATTGATTTTTGCAATCGCAAAAGAAAAGCGTCACCTAGTAACAAAAAGCCTATGTTTAAAGGTACTGTTACTGGCCATTACCTTGTATTTCTTGAGAAAACTATGGATGAGATACTGTCTCTCTGAGATGAAGGGCCATTACATAGTTGTGGATAATGCATTTATTCACACTGTATTCGCACCGCTAAAGAAATAGATGAACTTATAACTAGGAGAGGCTATAAGCCTATCTATCTTCCATCCTGTTTCCCAGAACTCAACTCAATCGAGCAATTTTGGATAATAGTTAAGAACAAAGTCAAGCGTAGTAGGTTTGAGGACAAGGAGAACCTAGCTGCCTTCCAATTATCTACATGCGTTTGTACAGCATTCTGTGAACGTTTTTGAAAAGCGTTTAAAAGAGGACCATATTAAAATCAATACTCAATAAATAAAGATTGCCAAAGATATCGAACTTCAGGGAAAAGAAACCCGTCCTTTGAGATAGTAAAAACCACCCTTTGGCGTTGGAACGACTGTAGTGGCATGAATCTTCTTTAAAAAGAAACTACGTTTTCCTGAGTGGATTTACTCTATTCATACATAGTTGAGGAAGTAAAAAACTTTTTATATGAATATTTGAAACTTCTATAAATCAAGTCATGTCTGTATTCTGCTCGGATGAATGGCAATAGAATAATCCCCTTCAAAGGGTATGGTCGTGAAGCTGGTTTTCAATGTGCGGCGCTTGAAATTACTTTTAAGCAGAAGGCGACGTCTAGTCTTTTTTTTTTTTTTCCTTTTCTCACTGCATATTTTTACGATGAACGTAAGTCAAGGTTATCTAAATAAGTTTATATTAATATCTACACTATTCCAATTTAGAGCCAACTAAATCTTAATCCCCTCCAACAAAGAATGTTTGAAGCAAAATCCGCTCGAAGATTGTCGTAAGAGAACAGAAATAGGACACGTAATAATAAAGGTATAAATCCTGTAATAGGTTTAAGGATATAGGCGATGCCATAGGATGTGATGAAGTATACGTAGCAGCTATATTTTATGGACAGGTGGTATTATTATCTAATGTCTATGATCTATACTAATCCTGTCAGTAAGTATAGGCTAAACCTACCGACGAACAAATCGAAAAACTCTCAGTTGTGTTAAACATACCGACGCAACATATACAAGAAATACTTGGCGGTCATTACTATCCAACGCGAGGAGGGTAAGTAAAATAACGTATTGAATCAGACTGTGGTATTCATCAAACAGTAGTTTAATGTCAATTCCTCCAAGTGATCCTACTCTGTACAGATTATTTGAAATGATACAAGTTTATGGATATCCCATCAAGGCTATTATTCATGAAAAGGTATTTCTGCTCTCTAATGACGCGTTCAGTCGTATTCATACTATTTTAGTTTGGTGATGGTATCATGTCGGCTATTGATTTCACGGCTCACGTGGATAAGGTACAGTAGGGCATTTATATTTTTATGGACAAAAAGAACTGATTGGTATTCTAGGTGGAAGATCCTAACGGAGACCGTGTAAAGATCACTCTTGATGGCAAGTTTTTACCATACAAGCGTTGGTAACCAAGAACATGAAGTACATTTGAAATAAAGATATATATGTTACCCACTCTTGAGCTTAATTTGTTGTCAACAAGTGATTAAGTAGTTCTCTTATAAAGTATAGCAATGAGAATACAAAATGTGTTATCCTGACAAGTGCTTTTAGTACGTAACAAGTCCCTATCAAACAAAGACACGATCATCCTGTGAGCGAGAAAGACGTGTAAAGAAAGTCTTAATTCCGCCAATAAATTTACTTCCCCTATCCTTTTTTTTCCTTTTTCTCCTCCTTCAATCTCTCTTTTAAGCATAAATGTCAGAAGCTGTCCCAAAAGGTTTAAAAGTGATAAAAGAAACGACCTGAACTGATTTTACTAATAAAAGTACGTTTAATAAAGTCGAATTACCTCCAGTGGAGCTTACAAACAAATATGATGCCACTCAGATTAAGAATGCCGTTGATGACGAGATTGCCAGAGTAAGCAGATTATTCTAGTTTATTCTTTGTTTTGCTAACGCATGTATATATTTCAAAGTATTATACAAAAGAACAAAACTTTGTGCAATCACATACCCATACAGACATCAGACTTCTGTTAGGCTATGTATCTTGCTTTATTGCTGGAGGCGCTTTTTATTATGAGTACAAGACAAGTTTCCGTGAAGCTATTCCTGTTACGATGTTTAGCGTTATTTCTTTTTGGATCCTTCAAGCCTTGGCTGCAGTTTATCAATATACTATTGAAAAAGATGAGGTATTTATGGGTAGTCAATATAGCCATGGAAGGGTACGTAAAAAACGTGATGAGTAGTGCAATCACTTATAAAAGAATAGGAAGTAGCTACTTTGAAAGTATCAGGAAAATTAGAAAAGTATAATCCCAAGTATTCACTAAAGATTACCTATGTTGACAAGACCACCACCAAGGAAACCATACTCAAGGTTGAACCTAATGCTACAGAATGGTTCACTACCAAAGGGATTTTATCATATGAGGCTATTGATAATGATCTCAAAAAGTATGTTGATACACTCAAACAGCAATTACATCAAGAATAAACACATATCTTTTATTCTCAATAAACAAACCCCATTCAATAAAGCATATATTTAGCGTAAAGTAACTAGTTCTTCAGCAGCTGTAGGATGAATAGCAACGCAGTTATCAAAATCAGCCTTTGTTGCGCCCATACGTATGGCTACACCAAACCCTTGAAGGATCTCATCACTATCACGGCCAAAGAGGTGAAGGCCAACGACCTTCTCTTCTGACCCCGCAGTGATCAACTTGTAAGCTGTTGACTCCTTTTCATCAAGTATGCCGAAATACAAATTTGTGAATTTGGTAGTGTAAACTTTGATATCACCAAACTTTTCTCTTGCTTCATCCTCAGTATAGCCGATAGTACCACATGTAGGATGAGCGAAAACAACGGTAGGAATATTGATGTAGTCGAGTTTGGAATCGGCAAACTTTGGCCCTCCAAATAGTCGATCAGCTAGTTTACGAGCTGCAGCAATGGCCACTACATAAAGCGTCAATCATGGGGATTTCATTTTCCCTTTTTTGTAGATTTTTTTTACCTGGAGTCAGTTCTGCCTTGCCTGCAACATCGCCTAGAGAATAAATACCCTTTACATTTGTGTTTTGATATTCATCTACAACAATGTGGCCCTTCTTGTCTCTTTCAACGCCAACCGCTTCAAGATTCAAGCCATCCACATTAGGTCCACGACCAATAGCCCAGAGTACGGTGTCTGTTTCCAGTTCCCCTTTGGTGCCCTTGACGTCATATTCCACAATGATACCGTTATCTGTCTTTCTTAGACAATTGACACTTGATTCAAGTACAAAATTGATGCCGATATGTTGCATTTGAGCAAGTAGGTTATCTTTGATGACAGGATCAAACCTACGGAGGATCTGTTTGGTTCGAGAAAATACAGTGACAGTAGAGCCAAGTGAATGAAATATACCAGAAAGCTCAATAGCAATGTAACCAGTACCGACAACTGCAACACGCTTGGGCTGATGGTCAAGCTTGAAGAAACCGTTGGATGTGATACCTAGCTCAGCTCCGGGCACAGGAGGAATGATAGAATGACTTCCTGTGGCTATAAGTATATGCTTTCCTTGAATTTCAAACGGTTGTGCGTTTTCGTCATTTAGCTTGATACTGAGCGTGCTTGGGTTGACAAAGCTAGCGTGACCATGAAAGTACTCGACCTTATCCTTGGACAGGTTGTTATCATAAATGCCATTCAAACGCTTGATATAAGCATCACGCTTTGCTTTCAACATGGACCAATTGAACTTGACCTCCCCAGGGATATCATATCCATAATCCCTGGCTTGACGAATGGTCTCAAACAAAGAAGAAGTATTCCACATCACCTTTTTAGGTACGCATCCAACGTTCACGCAAGTACCACCCAAGACAGGATATTTTTCTATCAGTGCCACACTAGCACCGTGTATTCCGGCAGCCTTTCTGGCAGCAGCCATTCCGCCTGAACCACCTCCGATAACGATAAAATCATAGAATGCTTTGGATGCCTGTGTTGATGGCGCCATAGTTAATGAACTGTATAAATGGTTTACTCTTTGGATAGCAGTTTGAACAGAGGAAAAAGAAATATCATCATTTATCCTGTCGAATTTTGAGATTGTATCGTGTTGCATAATAAAGTTTGCAATACTGTTTGTTGATTGGAAGCGGGGAGAAGAAAAGGGGGATTACAATAAGACCACTTCTTTTTTTCCCAAATAAAAATTAGAGTTGTACCCTGGTAAGTTTAAGTCGCACCAAAAACCCTTGACATCACTTTAGAGCAGGCTACTTGAACCGATATCTACTATACTGATTCTATTCTTGAGGCTGCTAACTACGCACGATTAGAACAATTGAAAAGGTGTATAAATCTGATTGAACAATGCAGGTTTATATAATTAAATGAAAATTACGACGGTTCACAAAAGAGTAGTAAAGTTGTGACAAAACCAAGACAAAGGATATGATTAAATCCCTTCTAAGCCCGTGATTTATTTTCAACAATTCACTTTATATATTTAAAGTTATGCTCGTCCATTTCTGTATAATCCTTTGCATGGATACCTTTGAAGAGGTGTGTTTGCTGTGATTGGATAACACATCAGAATGGGTGCGTTTTGTTGGAGTAATAGCCATGATTGTTTTTGCGACCGCAAAGAAAGAAGACTAGGAAGAAACAGTGGGGCATCAAACTCTCTGTTATCTTCATCAATAACGAAGCGATGGAATGTAAATCACCTCGTTCAGCAATAGCAAGTTTTTAAGCTTTTTCTCATTAATAGACATCTTCAATACTTCCATCCCTTTACTGAAAGTGTAGCCTCGCAATAAGGACTGTTGTATCTAGCTTTACATTGAAATGATGAAGGGTTGAATAGTATTAGAGGAAAATGCGTGTGAGTTTCGTAGGAAAATTAATGTTGTCTTTAACTGAAGAAATTTTTGAAAAATCGTCATCCTCAATATAAGTGAGAAATAAAGTGTGATTGCTAGGTAGATGTGTTCGTCTTTCCTTAGTGCTTTCAACAAAATACCAAAGAGTCTTCATTGGGAAAACGATCTCTTCGTCAATGACTCCGAAGTTGGATTGTTTAGGAGCGATTTCCTTGGGATGGCTGGCTAACAACGTGACACCGACTATTTTCTGCTCATTGTCCGTCTCATATTGGACGTCGTTATATTGTGATTGGCCTAGGACCTTGATCTCCGCATATTATGTTCAGCTTTATTATTGAAAAAAGGCAATTAAGTCGATGATTTGCGAATTAGATTCTTTATTAAGAAGAGCTGAGAGTTTACTTGGGTAGAGAGCCTATGACTGCTATTTATATTATTGTCGTCGCTGGCATTATTTATGCTTATATTATCATTGTTATACTAGTAACTACTATAGTTATTATTATAAGTTATTCTTATCGAATGCGATAGAGAAATGTAAAGCAGAATGTATGATCTACTGCAAGATTACAAAGTATTATAGTCTTGTATAAAACATCTTATTTGTCATAGATGTTTCTGGAAAATCAACAAAGTGAGATCGGAACGACTGTCAAAAGAAAAAATCTCAGTCAGCCAATCACAATTTCAAACGACAGCGAAGTTAATGGTGTCTCTTGAGCTTTTTTGTATAGATGTTCCTACTAACTTTCACTCCAAATCATCGAATCTTTCGTTCAGAGGATAGAATTTCTACCGTTTGTATTTTGGGCTGGATCAAGAATAAATGAGTTTTATTTTAAAAAAGTGTTTCCTGTTTGATGAAAACAGTGAAATTAAGAAAGATATAATTATCATAGTAGTAATGTCTTCTTTTTACGTCTCTTGATACTCCATTGCCATCCATTGCTATTGCTGTCATATACATAAATCTAGAGCTTAAGAAAATATAGAATGCCCTTTCGATAACTGCTAGTCGTCCTACAGTATCACATGCGTAGTATGAGCAGAGTATCGCCCATGTTTACTCACTATTTAATAATATATCCTATCTTCCACAAAATTCTTCATGTATTATGCTTCAATGTCCTTCAACCATCAAGGTGTCAATCTCTGGCATTGGATGAAAATAGCTCTCCCTTTTTTTTGACACTATCTTTGTTCCACTTGTTCAATTAAAAATCAAACAAGTATCTAATTGACTTGGTGCAACCTGATTCGATGGCTTTTTGACCTACAGAAATTTGCGGGCAAGTAATTTCAGGTATTTCAGCCAATTAAATTTTGATACATAATTTCATAGACATTTAATATAAAAGCTACCTCTCTCCTTCGCTTTTCTTTTCAATCATCTTTTCTTTTTTTATTTATTTTTAATAGTTCATCATGCATAGAAAGGCCTCTCTGTTGGCCCTTTTTGCCCTCATTTTCACATTATTCATTAGTTCATATACTGTTAAAGCTGACGAACAAGAATCTTATGGAACAGGTAAGATATACATATACACATACACGCGCTGTGTGTTTGGGATTCATTTATTGACGTCTTTTTTTCTTTCTAGTCATTGGTATTGATTTGGGTACAACTTATTCTTGTGTTGCCGTTCAAAAGAATGGACGTGTAGAAATTATTGCAAACGATCAAGGTCACCGTATTACTCCCTCCTATGTTGCCTTTACAGACGATGAACGTTTGATTGGTGATGCCGCCAAGAACCAATACTCTGCTAACCCTAAGCGTACTGTCTTTGATGCCAAGCGTCTCATTGGTCGTCGTTTCGATGATAAGGAAGTTCAACAAGATATGAAGCACTTCCCCTTCGACGTTGTCAACAAGAATGGTGCCCCTCACATCAAGGTTGCTGTCAAGGGTGAAGACAGAATTTTCACTCCTGAAGAAATTTCTGGTATGGTTTTGACAAAGATGAAGGAAACTGCTGAAGCTTACCTCGGTAAGCCTGTTACTCATGCTGTTGTCACCGTTCCTGCCTACTTCAACGACGCCCAACGTCAAGCCACCAAGGATGCCGGTACTATTGCTGGTTTGAAGATCCTTCGTATTGTCAATGAACCTACTGCCGCTGCTATTGCCTACGGTTTGGATAAGAATGACGGCGAAAAGAACGTCCTTGTTTATGACTTGGGTGGTGGTACTTTTGATGTCTCTCTCTTGTCTATTGAAGATGGTATCTTTGAAGTCTTAGCTACTGCTGGTGACACTCACTTGGGTGGTGAAGATTTCGATGCTCGTATCATTGATCACTTTGTCAAGCTCTGGAAGAAGAAGTACCCTGGAGATGATATCACCAAGGATCTCAAGTCTATGAGTAAATTGAAGCGTGAAGCTGAAAATGCCAAGCGTGCTCTCTCTTCTCAAATGTCTGTTCGTGTTGAAATTGAATCCTTGTTCAACGGCAAGGACTTTTCTGAAACCTTGACTCGTGCCAAGTTTGAAGAACTCAACAATGACTTATTCCGCAAAACTTTGAAACCCGTCGAACAAGTCCTCAAGGATGCTGGTTTGAGCAAGGATCAAGTTGATGATATTGTCCTCGTAGGTGGTTCTACTCGTATTCCCAAGGTTCAAAAACTCCTTCAAGACTTCTTCAATGGTAAGAAGCCTTCCAAGGGTATTAACCCTGATGAAGCTGTTGCCTATGGTGCTGCCGTCCAAGGCGGTATTCTCTCTGGTGAAGAAGCCTCTGACAAGATTGTCTTGTTGGATGTCAACCCTTTGACCCTCGGTATTGAAACCACTGGTGGTGTCATGACCAAGTTGATTCCCCGTAACACTGTTATTCCTACCAAGAAGTCCCAAATCTTCTCTACTGCTGCCGATAACCAACCTACTGTCTTGATCCAAGTCTTTGAAGGTGAACGTGCCTTGACCAAGGATAACAACCTTCTCGGTAAGTTCGAGTTGTCTGGTATTGCCCCTGCCCCTCGTGGTGTTCCTCAGATTGAAGTCACCTTCGAAATTGATGCCAACGGTATCTTGAAGGTCAGCGCTGCTGATAAGGCTTCTGGTAAATCCGAATCTATCACCATTACCAATGACAAAGGTCGTCTCTCTCAAGAAGATATTGATCGTATGGTCAAGGAAGCTGAAGAATTCGCTGAAGAAGACAAGGCTATCCGTGAACGTACTGAATCCAAGAACAAGTTAGAAAACTATATCTATACTATCAAGAGTCAATTGTCTGATGATGGTGTTCTCGCCAAGAAGATTTCCGCTGAAGACAAGGAAGCTATTGAAGATGCTATCAAGGACAAGCTCGCTTGGATTGATGAAAACCCTACTGCTCTTCGTGAAGACTATGACGAAAAGCGTGAGGAATTAGAATCCGTTGTTAACCCCATCACTACCAAGTTGTATGCTGATGGCTCCGCTGAAAGTAGCAATGACTACGAAGAACCCTTAAGAGATCATGATGAATTGTAAATCTTAATTTCACACATAATTTATAAATAAAAAATAGTACATATAAAGATATCTCTGTGCCACAATTGCTCCCCCCCCCCTTTTTTTTATTACTTTTTTACTTAATGACAACCACGTCTGTCTCATCAGAACCTTTATCCTCAACCTATTTGTCAAACTACTCTTCTTCTTTTCAAAGCTTCACACGTCGTCATTCTATTTATGGAACAGAAGATAGAGTAGTGCTTGATATTGGTTCATTATACATAAAATGTGGATTCTCTGGCGAATCCTCTCCTCGTCATATAGTCCCAACTTGGTCTTGTTTAGAACATTTACGAAATGAAGAAGGAGAAGTTATTCGAATGAATAAAGAGGTAAAAATAAAAGGATATCTGTGTCTTTTGCTCAAGCTAATTCATACATGTAACAGTTGGAGGAATTATATAGTCTAGATGTTATGGCAAAAGGCAATTTGGATGAAATTGAAGAAAACTTTAAAAAGTTACTCCATGACATTTATTTTCGGTAAATAATGCATGCGTTTTTGGTTAAAATGGGTTATAACAAGTATAATTAGGTTACTGTTAACAGATCCGAAGACACGTAAAGTTATTATATGTGAATCCCCATTGGCACCCATTGCTATCAAGCAAGTCATTGCAAAGCTGTTATTTGATCACTTTTTAGTTCCTTCTATATCCTTTGTACCAGTCCACTTGATGGCACTATTTACAACTGGTTTAACAACTGGTTTAGTCATTGACTGTGGAAACTTGGAAACAAGCGTTCTTCCCGTAAGAATATCAATAATAGTGCATCTTGCTCGTGTGGCTCGAAATAACTATGTATTATTTAGATTTATGTAGCTAGACCTATAATTCCTTATATTGCTACGACACCACTCGCCGGAAAATCAATCACGAAGAGGCTAAAGGAGTTATTATATGAACATGGTCGATTCATTCCACCCTCCAATCTTCACTTTTCGCTTGCACCACAGAGCAGCATACCCAGTCAGCTATTGACACCAGAATTATTAGAGGATATAAAGACCAGAGCCATTTTTTGTTCACCCCTCATGATCGGACAACAGCAGTACAGTGATGCAGCAAGCAAAATAGATGCCTACAAAAACTTTAGCAGTGCTACTGATCTGTACTATCCCATCACGCTCAAGGACGGCCAACGAGGCACGATACTGATACCTGGATGGGTTCGCGAACGAACAGCAGAGGTGCTATTTGAAGGAGATGAAGATGAGCCGAGTATACCCTTATGCATATTAGACTCATTATCAAAGCTTCAACCGGATCTTCGAAAGCCTCTGATATCGTCTATCCTCTTGATCGGCGGTATGTCACTTATACCCGGATTTCAATCCAGAATAAAGCAAGAATTATTACGAATTATGAGGGATCCAACTGAATATGAAAAGAAGAAGTACAATAGCTTGCTTAAATTACACAAGTCAATTCGGTTTTTAGACAATCCAGAGGAAAAGGGCGCTGGACGTATATTTATGAATAACGTAAGAGGCTGGATTGGAGGTTAGTATTTATTATACATGATACGCACGCCGCTTGCTAAAAGAGAAATGCATAAATAGGTTCTCTTATGGGATCCATGAAGTTTTCAGGAGAAGAGATCACAAAAGAAAAGTTTACGGGAAATGTCACAGACTGGTCTATAGGCCACTGGACAAATACAGTTGATTCAGCTGATAGAGAAGCAAGTACAAGCACCAAATAAAAAAAGAAAGATGTGTTTTACTTGTTCTTTATATCATTTGACTTTCGATGAACTTTAGAACTAATGGCGTCTTTCTCGATGAGTCTGCATTTCATATCAATTTAAAACGTAGTATGGCCTGGTCAAAAAAAAAAAAAAAGATTGCCTGCTGTGGTCATAGTGCCCAAAACCCGAGCACAAACAACAACGATTTTATGTGTGATCTCTGCTTCAGGTTTAATAAAGTGTAGCCTGAGATTACCGCAGTCGTCAACGAAGAAAAGAAAGAGAGAAAGCTATGTTGAGCTAACAAGCACAGGGACAGTAACTGGTCATTGTTTTAGCTTTCTGAAGGCCACAATGGATGAAGTGGATCAGTACCCACATATGAAAGGGTACTATCTTGTTATGAATAGTGCTGTGAGACTTCAAATTCCAGAATCCTGATGTCGTTCAAGCTGAGCAAACCCTTTCTTAACAGCCAAGCAGCACCGTATCTGTAGAACGCTTTGGCCGCTTCCTTCAAGCCAGGTCTGAACAGTCTACCGTTCTCAGTCGATTCTATGGATATACCATCACAAATCATGATAATGGATACCCCTCTTTCGCAAGATTCGTCTTTCAGAGTACTTCAACAAACAACGTGCCGATCAAAAGCTTATTCAAGATTTACGCGCCAAGTTTGGAGAAGACGCCGTGTTTGTGATGGGAAACTGGTCCGCTCCCCATGCTAGGTATCGTGAGCCCATCCGTGGCCTTGGTTTCCGAAGACTCCTCAAGAAACATGGGTTCCAAGTCTATCTTATAGACGAGTACAAGACCAGTAGGTGCTGTCTAACATGCCACAACGAAAGCCTCCGCACGTTTCGTCGTGTTCCAAATCCACGGCCGTATCAACGCGAGCGATATCCTACTGTTGTCTACCATGGCCTTTTAAGGTAATAATACATTAACCACTTGGATGACTTTATACTGATTGATCATTGCTTGTAGATGCACCAATCTATACTGTAGACCCGCCATGGCGGCACCAGATAGATATCGCTTATGAAACAGGGATATTGCTACTTGCCTCAACTACATGCACATCCTTTGTGGGTTTCGACGTAATGGCATGGTTCCTCATAGGTTTCGCCGGGTTGCTGTTGCTCCTACAAGACGTCGAAGAAGAGTGGACGATCAGGAGCAACCAAGAACTAGAATACGTTTAGACGATGATTCTCCGTCCTAGTTATCGCTAGGACACATCTAGATGCCTTCGGGGTAAGTTGTATGTAATAATTTTCTTACATAACTAACTGTATAATTCTTTCTATTCTCTCCTTGGGCCTTATTACTCTCATTTGTATTTCATCTGCTATTCGCCTCCTTTTGCACGCACTTTATTTTTAGCCTTTGCGTAAATACTTTTTTTAGATACGCCAATCATTTTTTTCATACATGTCATTTATTTTTAATAAAACAGTAGCGATGATCTTACACAACCATTCTTGATGTCATCAGCAGGTATAAGAAAATATCCATCCACATATAAACAGTACCCTGCTTTGTACAAGGACAGTAATTAAAAGCAATATATTGTTTTCGAATGAACTTTGTGCTTTACAAAAGAAAATAATAATAAAAATCGCTATCTATATGATTATAATTACAAGTGCTTTATTGAGAGAAGTAAATGTCTATTTATATACTTAAAAATTATTAAAATCTACGCTTAGCTGCTCTTCTGGCAGCGGCCGCTGCTTGCTGTCTCTCACGAACAGCACGTTCCTTCTCCATTTTTTCATGATACTTTTGTTGTTCTCTAAAGTTTTCCATGAACCCCTTTGTATTTTTTTGAAGTTCTTCTGGTTTTCGTTTAAGTAAAGGAATGTTCAAAGCCTTACGAACACTGGGTGCCTTCAATGTTAGAATTTGACCAATAGAGAACAGATTTGAGGTGATCCAATACACAAACACACCACTGGGCATCCAAGCAGTGAAAGGCACAACGGCAAGAGAAAGGACACGGAAGACATTCTTCATGCCCTTGCTTTGAGGGTTAGCTGCACCTGTTTCAGTACCGGCTTCTAAAATGGCCATCATACCCGCTGCACTAATAGCAGGAAGGATATAATAGGGATCTTTAGCAGATAAATCTGTGAACCAAAGCAAACCTTCGTTAGTCAATCCAGGAACAGGCACTTCAGCCATGCTACGGATAGCCATAAAGAAGGAAATCATGACTGGCATTTGAATCATAGGAAGACCTAATGATTTCATAGGATGGCAATCATTATTCTTGAACAGAGTTTGAATCTCTCGACTGTACTTGTCTACTGACAATGTATCACCTTCTGCTTGTGCCTTCTTCAAATTATCCATGATGCGGGTCACGTCAGGGTTGATATTCATCAATTTGGCATTGTTTCTTTGGATCTTGATCATCAGTGGTAATAGTGCCACACGAACGGCCACAGTAGCTGCTGCGATTGCTGCCCACCAGGGGAGACCGCTGTAGATATGAATGTACTCAAACATAGCCTCCAGTGCGCCTACAGGTGTAAAATTACATAAGCCAAGAGCTTTGAATTCACCAATTTGAGCTGCAGTTTGAACCAATGAATCAGGTGCATTTGTTTGCAATACTTGCTCAACAACGTCTTGGGCTGAACTGGTCGTCGTTGCGGTCGTCTGATCTTCAGAGGTTGTACTCATATTACGAGTGTTCATATGATTCAATGCACTGAAGCTGCCGAACTTTCCATGTGTTTTCGCTGCTCTAATTGCAATGGCGTTCAAGGGTTGAAATCTTGGGGCAAATAAACTAGTTGATAACTACTCTCATATATTGTTTAGTTTCACTATGCTTTGCTCTGTTTCTTTTTTTTAAAAAAAAAAAGTTACCATACGAGCAGACTTTCCCTTCTGAAAACTGTCCTGAAAAGCTCTATAAATGAATAAAGTTATGAGATAATCCTGAAACAGTCATTCGCTTTATGTTAGGCCCTTACCTTTTGGCAACTAATCTTCCTGCAGTGCTCAACATGGTTTGATTATGTCTTGTTTTTTTTAAAAAAAAAAAATAAAAGACAAGCAAGGGGTCCAAATTGACAGTTGTGGAAGCAGGGAAAGCTAGTCACAGGTTCTTAATTTCTCTGTCTCTCTCACTCAATAATGCCACCCTGCAAATTTGACAGTTGTCCTTTTTTTGTTATATGCTTTCACGATTAATCTTTACAAGACATCTTGGCACCTTCTCAAAGCGCCTTGTATCACCAACCTACACCAGTGGGCTTTCTAGAAAAGGTACCTTTTTCTTGAAAGGAGTAAATAATAGGAAATGACAAACATAGACTAGGTCATGTTCGATTCTTAAATAGTAATGTAAAGCCTGTCGACTATGATTCCAAGTATGCTGAAAAGATCAAGGAAGCTGCAAAGAGGTAATTAAATAATTCAACATGCGTAATACTGTCTTAACTCTCTCTTCCTCTTAGGGAAGGAATTACAGTCGAAGAGCTGAAGAAGAGAATCAAAGAACAAGCTGCCAAGAAGGCCAAGGAAGCTACACCCAAGAAGGTAGAGCCGAAGAAAACGACAAAGGCACAGCCTAAAGCTGCAGTAACAACAGAGACGACAAAGTTACCCTTTGAATCTTCAGCACCTGTAAGTATATCTTTTTTCTTCTTTATCATTAAGTGCTTAATAATGTATAAATAGACATTGGATAAAATCGTAAAATTAGAACTATTTGAAAAAGAAACACCAGAGAATATCGAAAAAATTTGGACAGCAGGACATGCCAACAAGGACTGCATCACAGCCGTTATTCCAAGTGACATATATGACAAGCTGTATAAACGTAGCCAAGATTATCCAATGGTAATTGAGCAAATAACACATATAATAATTACTTATACATTTATATAGTTTGTCGTACCTATGCCAAGAGAAGAAGGTGTCGAGTTTTACTTTCTTCAGTTCAATTTCCATCAGTGCTACTTTACGTCCCTCTTAGAATATAAAGCAAAGGGCACTGAAGCAAGACCTTTCTTAACACTGACACACTTTACAGAACTTCAAAAATCCAAGGGACTTGTCTTGATGAAGGGTGATATCAACGATGAACCACGTATGTTGGATACTCCCAACGCTCAATTTTTAGCATTTGCTCTTCAACAATTTTATGCTTCTGGTAGTGAAGATAAGCTCAAACTAGTCGAAAAATTCCACAGGTCGCCAGCTGAATTTGATTTCCAGGAGCTTATTAAAGCAGTTGAAACACTTGTTTAGATTAAAAGACTAGTAGTAATAGACACTGTCGTTTATCTATTCTTTTGTTTTTGTGTATTTTCCCTTTTTTCATCTTATGAACACGCTCACTGCATTTGATCGTTTATCACTTAAAAGGCGTTCTTCATTATGAGTAGCTCTTGTAAAAAGTAAAGGGGAATGCTACGCGCGCTCCATATAATATCAGTTGAATAATCATTAGTCCAAATAAGCAAATGTTAATTCACCTGAAAAAGATAAAGGAATAAAGTATATATATATAATATGCTTTGTAACTACTAGCTGCAACCGTTTGAAAACATGTTTTGAAAAGTAGTTTTATTAAGCTAGAGCTTTTTTATTTGTTGATTTACAGTACTAGTAGAGCTTTGAAGAGAGTAAAACGGTTGCTTCGGCTTTAATCACACTTCTTGGTGACTTGCCGATGCTCTTCCTTAGCTCTACCAGTATGCTGACCACACTCAAATCATAAATTTGTGTGTTTTTTATGATCTCCTCAACACAGCGACCTTTTTAATTGCTATTTGGGAGCTGTGTATCTCAGCTAATAATCCAATTGTGGTTCGATGATCATCCTGTTTGAAAGTGTTTCTGCAGATACAGTTCAGCACAAAAGTAATCAAATTTGTAGTCTTGTTCCAATTTTTAATACCCTGATCTGCTTCTCTGACCGGGGATGGTGTCCTCTTTCTTGGAAGGCCACTAGTCATTTGTGCATCTTTTTCGATGCGAGTGTCTTGTCTTTTGAATATGCAAAGGGCTATTTCAAATAATTTGATTGAATTGCTGTGTACTTTCAGAAAACGAAGGAAAACAATTCAGCAAACGTGTAACCACAGACATAGAGAGAGACTGACTGGCGTTGATAGTTAATACTTGGATGTAAAAAAAAAAAAAACTGCCTATTGTAGTGTGGTTTTGAATATCGAAGCTTTGATCTGAAGGCAGATGACTAACATGTTCATATAGTCTTTTACAGGACATAGCCAAGTTAAATGTTGTTTTAGTCGCAGCAGGACATAAGAATATGAGGTTTTCTATTTGAATAATATGTAGCATAACAAATTCAGCTTACACAGAAAACTGTATATCTATCGTATTTATCTTATAAATACTTCATCGTGTAAAAGGTTGAAGAAAGAAAAAGGACTGACCACAAAATACGTTATTCTTATAAATGCGTCATACTCAATTCTCATTGGTCACAAGTAATCCTGGTTGCATAAAATGACACCATTTTTAATGAACATAATAAAGATTATTGTAGACTCATCGACACATGCTTTTCTTATGCTTCGATGTTTTACATAATGTTGTGTGGATGTGGTCTGCCTAGTGCAAATTGAACTGCTTACGTCATTAATGGTGAAAATGCAGTGCAAATGTGCTGTACAAATAGCAAGAATGTCGTTTGGTAAATCGATGATGTGCATTTCAATGATAACAAAAAGAAAAGTTGATGTGTATGATATACTAAAAGTGTTCTGTAAAAAGATTATGCAATGCTACAATGGGCTTTTAACACAAAAACCTGCTTGTTTTGTAAAAAGGGTTGCCCTGGACACTTTTAGATGAAGCGATCGTTGAATACCATTTATTTTAACTTTCCATCAGCTCATCTATCCCAATGGAGTCATCAGATGCTTCAGGGAGAGATGTGCATATATTAAAAAAGTAAATATATTATCATATTTTATTGAAATATATTCTTTTCACTATTTCGTCTATTTAAAGCTTGTAGCATCTGCTGTCTTCTCTGTTCAGCACTAAGTGAATTTAATTCGTCCACTGACATTTCATCAAATGTTTTACTATCATTGTTACTCACATTGTTGCTGCCATTATTATTTGATACACTCTCTTGCTCTATCTTCTTTTGCTTATTTGCTTGCTCCATCATTCTCCTTTACGTTTGATTAATCAAAAGATCATTACATTTTAATATTACAACTTACTTTCTTGCTTGAAGCACCATGTATTCTTTACGCTTTTTCAGCATCTCTTGTCGTTTATCAGGATTTGTCTCCCATACTTTAGGTGGCTCTTGAGCTTCACTGACATGGTCAACATCTATCTTGTATCTTTGTACAAGGTTGGCATGGTTAGGTGAATTACGACCAGTAGATGAGGATGAAGGTTGATTGTTAGTAGTAGTAGTAGTGGTGGTGGTGATGGTAGGTGAAGCAGAAGGTGGCTATGTTATTTGTTGTCGCTGTTGTTAGATGTTTGGCATATTTATATATCTTTTTTATATGTACCAAAGGAAGACTACCATCTCGAAGAGCATTGTCAACAGTTGTTTCAACAGAACCTGTTCTTTGCAAATCAGCTTGAATAGCGGCAACGGGAATATCAGGAAACATGGCACGGACCATTTCAATCTTTGAATACGATGATTAACTATTACATTATTCTTTCTTTCCTAAATGTATATACCATCTGAGGTGTAACACGGTGCTGTGGTCTTCTTGTTGCTTGTCGTTGATTAGGTCGCTGCTGTGTTTGGTTGGACTGATTGCCACCTATGATGGTTTACATGAACATCAAGCTTTGTTTACTCATTTGTTCATATACCAAGCATCCATCGCAGTATGACTAGAATAATAAATACAGCAACTAATATCGATACACTGTCGTTCATTAGCAAGTAAAAAAAGAATAAATAAATTTAGATTATGTGCGCCATTTTAAAACAACAGTGTCTTCTGGAATAAACATAAAGTATCTAGAAAAATATTCAGTCTTTGTATAATGATGCAAAGCTGCTGTGTCAATGAATATAACAGAGTCTACGGATCACATTGTTTGTCTGGACCAGCATCTTCTATATTTACCATGAAAACTGTTTCCTAGGATACTACAGATCACATCTAATCGATACAGCTGAGACAAGGGGGAATTACGGATATTAAGATGAACTAGTTTTCATTGGGATTATCAACAATATGATTCATGTTATTATACAAAATTACTTTATACACTAATGGATACATATTTTTCTCATCGTATTCATCAAGATAAACAACAGCTTTTTTTTTCATGTATCGAAATTGAACTAGTGTATACATGCTTAAATATACGCGTTAACTGTTCTTATGGACAATAAGACACGTCATATACTTAGTTATTCATGTCCATATCCTTTATAAGCAAATAGTTGAAAATGCAAAATAAAAAATAAAAAATAAAAAAATAGGCTTACTCCCAATTAAATTTGCGTCATTTGATAAAAGTTTTTCTTTTTCTATTTCCCTTTAATTGTAGGGTGCAGATCCAAATTGAATAATTGACAATGTCAGATGCGCCTATAGTAGACACTGAACTTACCCAATTGAACATTCCAGAAGATCTAAGGACGAATTCTTCATTTATGAAAGTGATGGCAACCTTGTTTCATTATGGTAATCAGTCCATGAATGCTACTCAATTGGTTGTTGCAATTAGAGCTTTGAATCTACTACCACTCAGGTACACACATTCACACATTCAGTTAAACAATCCTTATTAATATTATATCATGTAGAGGTGAAACGCCAAAGAGTACCATTCAAGGCATCATTTCGACTTCACGTAAGTTGGCCAGAGATTTGAACATTTCAGATCCCTTTCGCATTGACAGAGAAGGCGCTGGAAGACAAACAAAATATGCCATCTCTGACGAAATTATGAATGGAGTTGAGCCACCGCCTGTAATTGAAATTCCTGATGAGCCCATCATTCTTCGGCCAGTTGAACATACTTTACAAGGCACAAAGCGTTCTCGTAAGGCAACATCGTTTTATACACCTTCAAGCAACTCTAAACAACGCAAAAAGAGATCTAAGAAGAGTCGAAAATTATATGATGATGACAATGGTTCTTCTGATGTTGATATAGATGCTGATGAAGACTTGGAGTATGTTTATTTTATATGCTACTTAAGTGTTATCTAATTATAAATAGCTTTAGTGGTTATGTATTTGGTGATGAAGATGAAAATCAAGCAACTCAAGAGGTGATAGAGGAAGAAGATACCATTGTTGACTATACGTTACTCTACTCTCCTCCTACAGCTGATATGGACTATATTGATAAAATCAATTTTAACGAATATCCCGTTGCAGCTCACTTTGCTATTGTCCAGCAAAAAGGATACTCATATCCTCGCTTTAGATCACACGAAAAAATAAAAATCCCCAAGGCAAACTGTGAAGACAAGTTTAGGGTAACAGACATAAAAAAGGGTGACCGTGTCATCGGTCGACTCTTTATTCTTGCTGATGGTCATGGAGGGCCTGGATGCTCAGAGTATTTTGTACGCAAAACACCAGTGGCAGTTGAAAATCTCTGCCAACGCTATGATCCAGAAGCGCTCATTGACCCTGAAGTGCAGAACAAGATGCAGGCTGAAATTAAAACCATGATCCAACAGCTGGATGAAGAATATCTAAGCAAAAAACGCGAAGAATTGTCACAAAAAAAGGATGATGAACATATTGACAATGATGGCTGTACTTTGATCCTTAATATATTTTTGGGAGAATGGCTCATCAACGTCAACGTCGGTGACTCTCGTACCATACTGATATCCGCACCAGAGCCTACACCAGGGAAACCTGATCTGGTTGAAACTGGAGGCTTACTTGGCATTGATAGCGATTATAAAATGGATGTTGTCTTTGCTTCTCAGGATCATAAACCTTATCTTGAACACTTGGCGCGTGAAATTCTGGAGAATGGTGGAGAATTTGTTGATTCTGTACAAAACCGTGTTATCAAAGTGGACGTGGACAAGCTAAAAGAAGACGGTAACCGACATGCGAAGCGACTGGCCTTGAAAAATGCGAGGATTCGTCCAAAAGGATACAACGCAAGCCACGACGCACCTTGTGCATCTAGTGCAACAGACAACCAAATAGGTGATGAATTCAATACAGATGAACAATCTACAGATTCTGCTGCGGTCAACGGTTGGACGACTCAAAGTGCTGTTCGCACAACTGCAAATAATAACAGTAACAACAATAGCAATAACAACAATAATACACAACAGCCAAGTTCGCCGCCTTCACCTAAAGCGCGCCGCGTACCGTCGCTCAATGTCGCTCGCTCATGTGGTGATTTAGATTTCAAGATGGATCCACAACACAAGATCATCTCTTGCGAACCTGATGTGACCTTTATTCGAATCAAAGATCAGCCTCATGGTGAGCATACTATTCTGTTGAATGGTCCTCATAAAGAAAAACGAAGACACTTTTTGTTCATGAGTACCGATGGTACATTTGACTATATGTATGAAGAAACAGCTGAGAGACAGAATAGGGCCATTGCCAAAGTGATTGGACCAATGATTGAAGATGGTGAAAAGATCGGAAAGTATTTGCTAGAAGAAGAAGAGCGTATCAAAGGCGAAACGATTGAGCATAATAATGAAGAAGAGAATGATGAACGATTATCAGAAAAAGAAGAACAAGAAAATCAAGAAGAGCAAGGAGAGCAAGAAGAGAAAGAAGAGAAAGAAGAGAAAGAAGAGAAAGAAGAGAAAAAAGTGAAAGAAGAGGAAATGCCTCAGGTTATTGTTAAAGACAAGCGTGGTCGCCGCGAAGGAAGCAAGGGAAGAGATGACAAAAAGAAGGAAGATGATAATGCGCGAGTTGTGATTGAGAGTATGGAGGGCGATAGCAAGGCTGAACATAAAAGCAGTCAAGGTACAAAGGCAGAGGAGGAAGAATTTGCAAACGAAGGTAACAAAGAAACAAATACTGAAGAGCCGATGGAAGTTGACGATAATGAAGAAAAAGAAGCGCCTCGTATACCTCTATTGTATCGTGAATTGACAGAAGAAGAGATACAAGCACGAAAAATAAAAGAAAGGACACTGGTTTATTCTGCAAGATATTTTGCTAATAGAGAAGGCGCTCAAGGCTTTTTTGCATCCACCTTACAAGACTATGATGATTGCACGATTATCTTGGTTGAAATCTAACACTGTAATTTCTTTTTTGAATCCCTTTACCCCTTTCCTCTTTCTCTATCCTTTCCTTTTGATTGGCAATCCTCTCATATACACCCATAACATATACACCACACACAGAGGCAGAGACAGACAGGCAATCATATAGGCACACATCACAACATACATACGCAAACACACTCACACACTCACAAATACGCCATCTTTTTCTTTTTATATATAAAATTACTTTGTTTATTGTAAAAATACATAAAAGAATCATAATCCATTTTTGTTGTTGCTTTCTATGCTCTACCTTCAGTGATTATGCTTTTCATTCAATCAGCTTTTTTGCATCCTTGGTTATCCCTTTAACTTTTTACAGCTTTTCCATTTCTCTCGTATACGTATCTCTGATATACACCTGAGCTAGACGTGTATACCTCTAAAATGCTATACGTATAGATTCACAGCGCGCAATATTTAAACCCAATCATAAAACGGTGTTGAAATAATGTTATGGATAATCACTGTCCAAATCATGGAACACGCTTGCAAGCTCTGTCTCGGGTTTGCTTTGTATTTTCCTCTAACAATGTCATAATGCTGGAACTTTCTACAAAAGCTCTAAAAACGCGATTTATCCCAAGATATCTTTTGATATTGATTAGATTGACGATAAATCTTCCATGGATTTGAGGGAAGCGACTATGGGCGATTTCCTTAAAAGTGTAGATGCTCTTTGCTGGTTAATTTTTGTGAGCTTGACTGAATTTAAAATAGTTAGAGCTGTACGTAAGAATTACCGCATAATTTCAATAACCGATTCCAGATCTACTTGTTTCTGCATCATTGTCTTTCCTTGTTCTTCTTTTGCATAAACACATGGAAATAGATTACAAGTTGCCCGTTTTAATACTCATTTCATATTTTACATTACTGATACCATCTCTGTTTTGGATCATATCACCTCAATTAAAAAGGAGCTTTGATCAACACTCGACAGAGACCACACTATTGTTTGTATTGACTGGCGTTTTTACGACAATAACATGGATTTTTGTCTGCAAGTTTATGTATTTGGATTATACTATTTGGTCATTCTCAAAAGGATTTCATTGGGATTTCTCACTTAATGCTATCTCTCACTGGTTACATGATGTTTGCTTATTTGAAAATGTTGTTCGTGAAGCAGCAACAGGCGCTTGGTCATGGTTATGGACTCATCAGATAGCCACATTTGAAGTCATTGTATGGACAACCATCTTGACTATTGAAGGTAATTGAAAAAAAGAAAGGGTAAAGAAAATATATTAAAATGAGTAAAAGGTTGGAGACGACGTATTCCTCACTTGTGGGCTTATATGCTACTATGTAAAGCCATGGGTGTGTCAACAGCAATGGGTATATTCTGTGTAGTCATGCTATCACATCCTCCCATTAGAAGACGGCCTTCACCTAAATTACTAGGCGTTTTGGCATTTTCCATTACTGTCGGCCTAGTCACTGTCTTGATCACTCCTTATGTTAGTACGAGCAGCAGCTTTATGACAAATCTTGTGGCTATGCAAGCCGTGGCTCTGCTGCCACTTATTGGTGATTATGATGAACAACCTGCACTCACAGTCTATGATGGAACACCTAAATTTATCACATTATTATACTGTTTTAACGCTGGTGCCAACTTTTCCATCTATCTTCAACAATGGATTAAATGCTTCATGACCTGTACTGAATCTAAACATATCCTTTGCCGCGTGGTTTCGACATACATTGATGTCTTTTGGGAACATCCTGCACAAACTGTCATCAACTTGGATAATATAGGTACAAGTGTCATGAGTGTTGTTTGGATGTGGTTGTATAGTCAACAAGAATTCAAAAAGCGCGTACCATCCTGGGCATGGACCACTATACTACTAACTCCAATCCTAACCGCCTCTGTCACTCTGCCCATCTTTTTGTCTGCCTATGAATGTTCAAGATTGACTGTCAAGCAGAAAAAGCATGAATAAATCTCTCTTCTCTTTTAATGATTTAAACAGTAGTAAATAACCTCCAAACACCTTGAGCGTACTGTACAATTTCAGATACACCCATCTTGCTCTCTCCATAAACACGGTCAACAAAGGTGATAGGTACTTCACCCACAGAATAGTTAAACTGTCGTGCTCTTACAATCATTTCCATCTGGAATACGTATCCTTTAGATATGGTAGCATTAATTAGTTGATATAAAACATCCTTCTTGTACAGACTAGTAAAAAATAAGTAAGGATGTTCTTTTTCTTTTTTTCTTTTTTTTTTTTTGGACGTCCTTACCGGAAACTTCCTGTCAGATCGGAAGCATTTGGACGAAGCAAAAGAGTAGCTAAAAAGTTGGCTCCGCGACTTTTTTTTAAAAAAAAAGTTAGAAACAAGCCGTTATGAATGGAAATAATACTACCAACCTGACAAGCTTACGCTTCAAGTCCCACCCATAGACACCTCCTCCATTTCTATAACGAGTACCACTAACAATATCATAATTATTCTGCTGTTGTAATCTATAGAGAATATCAGTATATTTGCAGCTATTACTTTTCATTCTCTTACCTAATCATTTCAGGTATAAATTTGGGCTAAGCAATACTACTATCAGTACCATGCTTTTGAGTGTATCAATAAACTTACGTGATGAGAGAAATCGGCATCCATAATGATAACAAAATTACCCGTAGCAAATTGAAGACCATGAACATAGGCTGTACCAAGACCTAACTTACCAGCGCGTGGTTTCAGCAACTACAATAATGGGAATGTTATTGACATCTTTATATAAAATAAAAGTCATTACAATGCGATCTTCTCCATAGACCGTTTGAAGTTGTTTAGCAACTTCTTGTGTGCCATCAGGACTGTTATCATCTACAACGATGATTTCCCAATCAATGGCATGTTCTTTAAATGTCTTTGCAAGTAACCACGTGATGATGGGTAAATTCTGGCGTTCGTTGTAAGTAGGAAGAATGACTGTATACTTATTTTGAGACATGGTATCGTTGATGTTTAACACAGCGTGTTGGCTTGCCATTCAAACCAAAAAAAAAAAAGGGGGCCACAAAATGGAAAAGTGAGCTGACTTCAAACCTCTCATGCACATACACACACAGACACACAAAATAGGAAAAAAATGCACTTCATATCCTGATAGTTCTTCTCTCAGTAATGTTCCCCATAATCAAATTACTCTCTCCTCTTCATAGGCAGTCTAGTAGTTTTGTGCCTAGACAAATTCCCTCTTCATACCTGTATGCTTGTCACCTTTGTTGCTATGATCATGTAAGAATTATGACAACATGGTCGCAAAAGTACACCCTTATTGTTTGAATATTGAAGAGCATCCCCCCCTCTCCCTACAACATACATCATGCTGTAGAAAGCATTTCATTTATTTCCAACTGGAGTTTGTAGTGAACCTATTGTATTTACAAGACATAAAAGTTATCAACAGTACTCCAAATCGATGGAATCCTCCCAGTGCTCATTATTATGTGTCATAAAGATGTTTGACGGTGTGTTGTATGCTGCTGTTGACTTGAAGAACACACTTTGGGTGTTATGAGTCATCATGTCTGCGTTCACTTTTCGTTTTTTAATAATGGCTGTACTATCTAAAAGTGCCTCTAGTTGTCCTCTTTTAAAACCATGCGCTATCACTATTTCTTCTTTTTGAGGACAACTTGTTAGTTGTTTTGAAATGAAAGGTTCAATAGAGTATATTTCTGTAAATGTTTGTGGTGATTTATCTTTTCCAAATACATCAAAATCACTTCCTGGGTATATTGACCGAGGATTTTTTGTAGTCTTTGTTAAAGGTGGTGGTTGAGGCAAATAAGAAGGGTTGTAGCAACTGCCAGAACAGCGATTGCTATGTAAAGGTGGCTCTTCTTGTGAATGAGCCTTGTATAAATCAACCAACACACTGTCTCTTTTTCTCCACATTGAGATTTACTAAGAAAAAAAAGAAAGAAAAAGAAGATAATTGGTTAAATAAAATATATACAAGAAAAAAAAAGTCCACCTCAAGGAATTAGATATCAAGCTGCCATTGAAGCCAATGATAATCAAGGGTTTGACACCGAAGAAGCTGTAGCTGCTCTATTCTTTCTTGAAACAAGAAAGAACGGAAGCTCATTATTACAAACATTTTATATTAAAACAGGATTATTGTATGAATTGATGAGAATTGAGCATGATAATAACGTATTTTGTGGTCAGTTTGGTAGTGCAATAGGGAGTACATCAAGACTCCTCCTCCCCATAGGGATTAACTAAATAACGTTTGAATACTGTTTAGACATCATTTTCTGTGGGTGAAGAGAGAAGTTTTGTTCAAATAAGGAATAAACCGTCTTTATTTTTACACATTAACAGCACTTTCCATTTAAAATAAGACAAGCTATATTAAGAGTAAATAGTATCTACTGTGTGTAAATCAACAATACGGACTTCATTGTCCTTCACTAAGGCATATTGCCTCATTGGCAAGCATTTCTCTGGGCTTACCAAATCATTACAACTACTGTACAGCACATATTCTCTAGAAGAAGGCTTGGATATAATACCATCTATTGATCATGTTAACTCTTATTTTTAGCAATGACTTGTTTATTACCATCATTCTTGAATAGTTGAAAGACAGCTGATCGTTCTTGACCTTCTTGGACTATTGTCTGCTCTGATAATAATAATCTGTCTACTAAATCATATTGACGAGGTAGCTATCATTTGAGAGATTAAAAAATGTCTTTAAATACTTTCTTTATCAAAAACCTTTCGTAACAAGGATATCGCATTACACATCATTGATTCTACTTCGCGTATCTGAAATGTTATACTTTCTATCGTCTTTTTTCCAAAGCTAAATTATACAAATTGGTATCACTGTGTCTAAAGATATATATATATATATATAAACTTACCGAAGATCATCCCAAGGAAAGTGGATCAACACATCTCTAAGCTCTTGCAGCTCATCAGTCACTGGACGGCTATGTTCAACCACAGGATGATTGACTAGTGTATCATATGCAATTAAGCCTAGAGTAGGCAGCATTCTATAGAAATGAGTCTATTAGTTTTATATATACACAGATAAAGCATGGCTTACGTTGAAAATAGTTCATGAACAGATGTTGTCTCTAAAAAGAATAGTGCCTTTTCAGCCTCAGTGTATATGTTGAAGAGCGGACTCTGACGAGAACAAGGGATTCTATGAGAACAATTCCATAGCTCTTGCCAAATGTTGTTTGGTTCAGACATTCTTTTACTAAGATGACCTTCTTCGTTCTTTGATCCCTCAGGAACTATCCAATCGCGAGGAGAATGCCATCTAACGAAATCTTCTAGACAAGCATGGGGGTTGGCTGCCTTAAAAGCTTGCATGTCCGAATACAATTGTCGCGACTGAAGCTGAGCTCGTTTTAAAGTTGCACGGTCCGATGAACCCATATTCTCAAATGCTTCAGCTTGTTCTTTGACCATATCTTCTGTCATGAATCCTGGATCCTGGGTCACAGGCACTTGAAGTGGCTCCCCTGTTTTCAATAGCTTTAAACCTTCAGTATGTTCGCACAGCTGTCCTTCTGCTCTATTGGGATCTTTTATAGCAGCTGCTTCTGCTTCTTCATTGTTAAACATGGCTACAAATGGAAGCCGTACGTATGATTCTGATAAAGGATGTGCACTTCCAGGCTCCTCAAGCTCTTCATCTACTGGCCGCTGGACTATATTGATCGATCCTTCCACATCTTCTACCGTATCAAAAAACTCCTCAGTAGAATCTGAATCATCTATAACAGACGATCTGGTCTGTTTCTAACGTTGAATGCACATTAGCTTCTTTTTACGTTCAAGTGCAGATTTGGGAGGTTACCTTTGATTGACCGGGCCCTTCATTGTTCAAGTTCGAACGTCTTGTATTGTCCTGTATTGTCTGTTCTTTGCTAGACGTTCCTTTCCCGCTCTGAGGTGAATTGCTTTGACGTTGGCGATATATGCAACAATTAACCATGGATAATTTTTGATGCAACTAGACAATGATAAGCAAAACGAATGATATGTGAGTAGACTTACAATGTTAAAGCGAAGGTCAATGCCAAGTATTTTTTTTTTCTTGGGGTCGGTACAGTTATGATCCTCATCATTATCATCATCGTATAAATAAGGGCTTACGCCTGGTATAGGTTCAAGATTCTCCCAATGCCAGCGTATTTTACGCAACACCTCTGTCCAGACAATTCTGAAAAACCCCATGAAATCCGCAAAGTGCTGTCGTCGGCTATTTGGATTCGTGTTGCCATTTGCCAATGCTTTAATTGCGAATAAGAGTAAGTTCCAAAAGAAAGATCCGTAAGGTACAGAAGAGCTTGCTTTGAATTTTAACACCAGCTTCTTTGTATCCAACATTTCTTTTTGATCTTCCTTTCCTGCTTTATTATTATACAATGGCATTTTATTTCTACTAAATAAATTATTCAAGACTTCCTCTATTTGATCCGACTTTACTACTGTCACTTGCTCGTCTCCTGATCGTGATCCACCTGTACTGTCTGCCATACTACCGGAGGCGCTACTGCTAGTGCTGCGTGGATTATTGGCTAGAAAGAGGTTGCGAAGTAACATGGCACGGTCATTGGCAGACTCATCGTTGTCTTCATCATACGGTGCAAGGTACTCACTGTTGCATGGATCCTTTATCCAAGAGCCAATGATTTGCTCTATGATGTTTGATAGGTCTGCTCTCTGTTGATTTGCTGGAGCAAACTCTCGTGATAAAACCCACTGTTTAGCTGTGAGAGCATCCATATTCGTTGATTGGGCATCATCATAAAGTCCATCTTGCCAAAATGGAAATAGTGCACTTAGGGTTAAAGAGCGCAGAGGATCATTATAGGATCCAAAAGGGAGCATGTTCTCGGTGTCATCCAGTAGTTTCTGGCTTGTTTGTCCAAAGTCATCACTAAAACCTCGGCTTATCGATGGACGCTCGGATGCTGTATCTGGCGCCTCTGGCCACTGCTTCCAGTTGTTTTCAAACCAATTTTTCAAGTCATAAGTATAGACAGCGGTTGTCCAAACGTCTTTATCATCATAGTCAACTTTGCCTTTTGAGTGATATATCAGTCAAACATGCGTCAATTAAAAAGATGTTATACTTACCATAAGTTTCACGTAAAGCATTTTGCTTTTGCATAAATAAATATTTTAGTTCATCCAAGCATGATAAAGTGCTAGGAGGTGAGATGATTGTCATATTAAATCGTGTCTCTGTTTCGTTCAAAGGGTGATCCATGTTGGATGTTGTAAGCATATATCCAAGAAACATTTTGTGTCTCTCTTGGCCTACAGGCGTGAATACAGGGACGGAACAGCCTGTGTTCTGAAAGGCAATCGCACAAGCAGAAATAAGTTGTTTTGCCTGATGATTTTCTATGGATGATCTTGTGCCTAACAGTATCTTTTTCTTGATTGAATCATTTGCTAATTTTAATATCAAGAGTCTGCTCTGTCCTGTCCATCGATGTAGTGGATGATATTGGTTATACTGAAACTGATAAAAGTGATCAGCTGCTAAGGGAGGCGCGTTATTACTCTCTATAACGGTTGGTTGGCAATGGTAAGTGAAAGAAAACGTATCATCATCTACTGACAGTACTTCCTTCCTGGTATATTCCTCTGCTGTAGGGTTACTAAGCGCTGCTTTAGCTGCTGATATTTGTTCATCAGAGAATATGCCAAAGGAACCGTCCTTTATGCCCCAAGAATATAGTGTTTCCTCAATATGAGTAACAAGTCGTTCGAAATTAGACACTGACGTGTAATCAACAAATTCAAAAGGCTCTTCTGCGCTATATGAGCTTTGTCTTCTCTTTGTTGACATGATGTAGATTGTTAATGAATTAAAAAAAAAAAGAGAATATTTACTTTTTGCAGATAAATGAGCTTTTGTGACTTTACCCACTCTACAAACTCGTTCACATGTATACACACTCACAGACAAAAGAAACATATTTATTCACTTTATAAGCATAAAAGAGGAATAAGATAGGGTCTAAACATAAAACATAAGTTGCGCTAGTAACTCCAAAAAACAAGTAGTGTCAAACTACTTGTTTTGTTGATATGATAAGGGTAATACTAGAAGCGCTGCAAAAGGGCACTGCAAAATCCAAAAAAGGTAATACTCCCTCTCAAACTGCAAAATGCTCTTTTTGAAAGGAAGCTGAAGGCTGTTCAAACAAAAAATGTATTAT